TTACTTTCCTATTTTATATAATTGATAAATCTTTGTATAATTAGGAGATACTTTCCTAATTCTTTCCTGTATCTAATTCCTTGTATAGCACCCTTGTAAACTCTTTATATATACCTCCTTATGGAGAAGAATAAAATTATCTGAACATATTGAAAACCCGTATTCATGTTTTAGCATGGTATCAGAGCCAAGTAGTTCGTGCCTCACTCTTTGGTGCAAATATGCCTAGGTCCTTTTGGGGAGAGGCCGTCCTCTCTGCCGCATACCTTATAAATCGGATTCCCTCCAGTATCCTCCAGTTCAAAACCCCCCTTGAAACACTCCACCACCATACCCAAATACCTCCCACCCAAAACCTGGAACCCCGCATTTTTGGTTGTGTGGTGTTTGTCCACTTACATGATCACCAACGCAGCAAATTGGATCCCCGGGCCGACAAGTGTGTTTTCATTGGTTATGCACCTCATCAGAAAGGTTACCGGTGTTATCATCCTCCTAGTCAGAAGGTTTATACTTCGATGGATGTTGTGTTCCGGGAACACGAGATCTATTTTTCAGATGCACAGCAGGACACTTCTCCAATTTCAGATTTTTTCCCTTCAGCCGGTTTTCCAGATTCGTTCCAGACTCAAAACGACCAGTCGCAGACCTCTAGCGACCGGTCGCTCGACGAAAAAGACCGGTCGCCAGATGAAAACGACCGGTCGCAAACGACTCTGCCTGAAAGCGACCGGTCGCATTCCTCTCACGACCGGTCGCCCCGCACGTCGCAACGCATGTCCACGACTCTGTCTGAAAGCGACCGGTCGCCTGACCCTAACGACCGGTCGCTCCCCCCAGTTTTTTCTAAAGTTGTTCCGCTTCAGTCCGATCCCAGCCATCACACTCAGGAGGAGAGAATTGAAGAGTTTGTGCCTGCTCCGGAGAATTCTTCAGCTCCAGTACCACACCAATCACCTGCTGAGGACGTCATTCAGGTAACTTCTCTACCTGAAACTGATAACATTAATGAAATAACTGATTGCATTTCAGAAGGCGCAGAGCCTACATATCAAATTCCAGAAAGGAAGAATCGGGGTAAACCCCCAGTTCACTACGAAGCAGATCTCAATGCAAAAGGGAAATATCCCATCAACAATTATGTATCCCTCACCAGATTATCTGAATCACGGGTACACTTTGTGAAGCAATTAGCCGACATACCTGTTCCCAACAGTGTAACTGAAGCACTAGAAGACCCAAAATGGAAAGAAGCCATGAATGAAGAAATGCGAGCTCTCC